GACCGAAAACGACCCCCCCCCCCCCTCCTTTCCCTCCCCCAGCGCCCTCTTCCATGGGTAACGTTGTAGTTTCATCATGTCATCAGGGAATTGATTCACAAAGACTGTCTCCCACCGTTCGTCTTTCCAGCCAATGCGCTTCTCATGGCCCTGGCCCGCTTGCTTCTTGCCACCGTCCGTCTGCTCTGTGCGCTTTTGTACACGCCACGACCCATATGACCGTCAACCGTTGGGTTGCCTTGCAACTCCTTGCCAACATCATCGTCATCATCATCTGGGTATGGATTCCACTCCACTCTCCGGCGCGGTTCGGAGCTGCGGGCTTCGTTCTCATCGAGAAACCTGGCGTCTTTTGCGGGAAGGGTATGGTCACGGCCGTTGCCGCGGTATTCCCGCCACCTTGTTGGCTGTGCCCCCCTTGCCGCCGGAAATGCGTCCTCTTCCAGGTTGAGGTCCCCTCCGCTGTGTTCGGGAAAAATTCCTCCTGAAGAGTAGGGGGCCATGTACCCTGATGCTGGGTGCCATTGCAAACCTTCGCCTTTTCGGCGGTAGGGCCGGTCGGCGGCGGCGTAGCCGTAGTACGGTGATTCCTCCTTTTGGTCATCATCAAGGTATCGGCGGGGCCGGGATTGGTCTCGGGTACGCGGTCTAGGTACAGCAAGATAAGATCGTTCGGTGATGGCGTCGCCAGCGGAGTACAGTTGCGTGTTAGTCGTTGTGGCTTGGCGCGAAGCCGAGGAAGCTCCAGGGGTCTTGTTGCCGTTTTCGGCCCTGCGCATGTCGACGTGGTTGGTGCTGTCGTTCGAGTAGTGGGTGCGACGTCGGGCCGCTGTAGGGGTTGACAAAGAGGTCAACGTGTTGTTCGTATCAACGGCGGAGCCGGGCACCACAGGTGGCTGTCCTAGGTATGAGAGCAGCTTGCTCTTGACGGCATTCCAGCATGCCCGCGCCAGCTCAGGAGTCGCTGGATCCTTTGTAAGGGAAGCAGTTCGGTGGGAAAGACGCACACAAAATCGTAGCGGTACGTTCAGAGAGGATTATGTAGGATGCCTCATGCGTAACCTGTTCGTGGGTCTGCGAACGTTAGTGTTGGATACACATGTGCTGTATGATTTTGGTGTCGCGCAGATTGATAAGGTTACCGTTTGGTAGGGGGCACCGCGATGAGTCACGGGGCCCCTCCTTGGTGTAGGAGCTGCCCATGTGGGGCACTCCCTCTTTCGTCCGTGTGAAGGACGGTCGTTTACCTCTCGTGAAGTTAATATATCACCAGAACAGTCACCCGATAAATAAGTGTCGGCGGCGGCAGCCAGAAGGGGAGATGGGGCGCGAGCGTCGCCCAATCTACCACGTCGACCGGCACGGCCGATATGGGCGGCGGCGAGGACGACCGCCGCAGCAGCCGCGGTAGCTGCGGCAGCGGCAGCCACAGCAGCAGCGGCGGCAGCAGCAGCGGCGGCAGCAGCGGCGATGACAGCGACAGCGAGACGAATCTCACGTCGCTCCGTGGGCCAGAGGCCCGGCGGCTCGTCCGCTTCGACAAGCCGGCGGAACTCACCAGCCGCCGCACTAGGGAGAACCCTCGCCGAAACCCGAGGTACGAGTCGCCCGCGTCGCCGACAAATGGCGAAGCCCNGCGGCGGCAGCGGCGGCGACAGCAGTAGCCGCGGTAGCGGCGGCAGTGGCAGCGACAGCAGCAGCGGTGGCAGCAGCGTCGATGACGGCGGCAGCGACAGCAGCAGTGGCAGCGACAGCGAGACGGATCTCCCGGCGCTCTGTGGGCCAGAGGCCCGGCGGCTCGCCCGCTTCGACAAGCCGGCGGAACTCACCAGCCGCCGCACTAGGGAGAACCCTCGCCGAAACCCGAGGTACGAGTCGCCCGCGTCGCCGACAAATGGCGAAGCCCTGCTCGCCTCGGTGGCGAGCCTGCCCGTCAGCAGCACGGAGGAGTTCACCCGCTGGGTGCTCTCGGCGGTGCTTCACGTCGCGGAGGGGCTCGAGGCGAGGGTGGTGCGAGAGTTGCTGTCAGAGCGCGCGGAGGAGGACCACGCTGCGCGTCAAGAGACGGAGGACTTCCTGCTGGGTGCGGTGGACCTCATGCTCAACTCGCCAGACGCCTTCGAGACGGCTCTGGCGTCCCACGAGCTAAGTGAATCCCCCAT